TTAAAGAATTCAGTTCTGGATCCGTATCCGAGACATGTCTGAATTGATCAAGTTCAAACTTCACACACACATGGTACATCATGTCACAAATAGATATGTGCATTTGTTTCATGATCTGCTTAACAATAGCGGAATGATGGCCATTTTAAGGCCGAAAATGCATCAAAATCACGTATTTTCACAATTCCAGAACCGGATCTCAGTCATGCATGGATGGATTTTGTTCAGATTTAGCACAATGTGTTGTACATATGCAGGTGCATTTCGGTCATGATCTGCTTTGAATGTATATGTCACTCAAATATGAACGGAACGGGGACGTGTCATTGACAATGACTTGTTTTATTTGGGCATTTTAAGGTTAAAAAAAGAATTTCATGTAATCAAAGTTTGCGCTAGATATCCAATATAGCAGAGAATCAGAAATAACAGAAATCACAATTTTTGTAATTTTCACTATTCACGTTTTCTTGTGCGTGCTTACGAGAAACACAATTTGCAGAGAATGCATGCAAACACACATATAGCACATAATTTTGTAGGAATGGTTAAATTTCAGCAGGATCACTTGTGTGCTTTACTAATGATATTGTGGCAAGATCAATCGATATAAGTGTCTACAATTATACCATGTTTATTTATGGAAATAATAAACAACAAACAAACATATTGGTTCAACAACCTAACTACAACATCTAGATATTTTCTGTGATGCGTTTTGCTAGGTTCATTTGAAGGTTACAGCTATACACCTAAATGCCTATATGTCCCACCTGTATGGCTAAATATCTTACCTGTATGGCTAAATGTCTCACCTGAATGTCTCAACTCCCACCTGAATGCGTTGATACCCAATCTGAATGCCTGGATGCCCTACCTGAATGCCTAGATGTAGATGTCTCACATGTATGCCTAGATGTCCAACCCAAATACCTAGACTCCCACCTGAATGCCTAGATGCCCAACCCAATCTGAATGCCTACATGTCCCACTTGAATGCCTAGACTCCTACCTGAAAGCCAGGGTACCCAATCTGAATGCGTGGATGTCCTACCTGAATGCCGACATGTAGATGTCCCATCTGAATGCCTAGATGTTCAACCCACCTCAATGACTAGATGTCCCACTCACCGGAGAGCCAAGATGTCCCACCTGAATACCTACTGTAAATGTCCCACCTCAATGCCTAAATGTCCTACCTGAATGCCTAGATGTCCTAACAGAACCTTATCTTCTCACCTCCAAAAATTCACGAAAAATAAGGTACGAAGGGAACACACAGACTCAAGTATACATCAACATTTCATTTTATGTTCGAATTTGCCTACAACAATTATGATATCTGTGTCATAGGACACCACAGAAATTTTTATAGTTACAAAATTTTGCAACTTCCATTGACTCAAAATATTTGTGAAAATTTGTCTTTAAAGCGAGGGAGTCATCACCTACTGTAAACATGCGTCAGGTGGCCATAGCATGTAATTGTTTACAAACATGAGCCTTTGCATTCTTAGTGTGTGTTGTTATCGCTTGGGACTCAATTCCCGCACAAGCACAGGTCTCGGCCCTCCCGCTTTAATACAGTAATGTAATTATAATTACACACACATAACTATCAATATGTTAAACAATGTAGCAAAATAAACAGAGCATCAGGCATATTTCACTGGGAAAATGTTAGAAGCAGAAAACTAATAAGATTGCATACCATACTAGTATAGCTAAATAATAACTTTGTTTTTATGTGTATTTTTTGGTAGGTGCGAAGTTCACTGATAGCTTTGCATGTTATACCAGAATGGACCAGCCAGTGGTGGTGGATCATACCAATACAGAGTCTTTATATAACGTATGGCAAGGACATCTTCAACAGGTAAAGACAACAGTGGCACAATCACATATCAGCTAACAGGGTTCTCCATGGTTTGAAAATTAAACAGGGCGCGCCAATGTGAAGTGGGCGTGGCACATTTGTAACGTGCATCATTGGCATATATGTTGAAAAAATGGAAACCAAAAAATCTATTAATGTACATATTAATACATATGCATAATATATATATATTTATTATTACAAAATGAATGAGAATTTTGAAGAGCTATTAAGTAAATGTCAGCACGTACAATCAGTACAATCATTGTAATACACTTTTCTAGGCCACATGTTCATTTTTAATCGTGTAGAAAAAACTTGCAACTTTTTGTTAGGTGGTGTTTATCACCTCAAATGCTCAAGGTGACCTGCAACGATAACAAGCCGAAATTTTCACAATTGCACTTAAAGAAATGAACCAGTTACCCTGACGCTGAATCTCTGGAAGACAATGAGTGATGGCCTGTTTTGTAAACAATTCTTTGTCTGGAACCAGGGCGCACAGGAAATATAATTTCAAATAACAAGGTGCGGCGCCCTGTTAAAACCCCTCGTGGACACTATAGCATTAAAATCTGGGGTCACAAACATTGAAACCCATTTTTTCACCATAGAAAAAAGTTGTCTGCCTCATCACATTTCCTGACTATCCATTCTGCCCTCTTATGCAAAGAACTTGGAATTCTGGAAATACACAAACTATGTATCCTCGGGGGCGGAGCTATGTCACGGACGTTCTACGTTGCTAAGACGCGCACCACTGTACCACGTATTTCTATGGGCTTTGTGCGCGCTGCTGTGGAACGCCGGTAGAGCCGGTGAAAATTCAAGAAAACTACACATACTCAACTTTGAAGTATTCCTGAACAACCAAATTCATACATGTATATGTTACACACGTAGGGCTAATCTTGTTACACTGTTCAGGGGACTCTCAACAACCATCTCAAAGTATCGTTTTCTGTGAGTTTTTGGTCTTTGTTTTCACCGCGAGGGTTGCCAGGCGGTAGAAAATGCCCGGATGTCTGCCCCCGAGGATTCTGCGTACTTGTGTTTTCGATTTAATCAATAATTATGCTCATAATATTTTCACCTATTTGAAAAAATTCCCCACACTTACTCAACCTGTTACTCAGCCACAGGGAATTACTTAAGTGAAAACTTTTTTTTTAAATATATATATGCACCATTGACCATTTAAATCTAAATTAATTAAATCTGATATATCCACATGTTATTAAAAAAAATTCATGGACAACCTGACATGGATTTAAATCATCAATATTGACAATTTAAATTCAAATGGATTTAATTGGATATATCCAATTATTTTAAAAAACTTGCACAGTCAGCGCAACATGGATTTAACTCATCAATATTGATGATATAAATCTGAAACTTGATTTAAATCTAAATGGAACAGTCTTTTGGTTTGGGTGAAATGAGAATATATCCAACAAATTGTCAATGTTATCCAACATATCCCATGTATTTCTGTATAATATATCAACCATTTAAGGTTGATTTAAATTACATATATTGGATTAACATTTTCTGCACCATTCTCCTGTGACTCGTATCCCCGGAATTATGATCTCGTTATCCAAACATAGTTTCAAATATGCTGCCACTAAGCACTCGTGAAAATGTAAAGGGTTTTGAATATATTTTGGTGAAATTATCAAAGAACAGAAAGAAATCATCAAAGAAACAGGAAAAAAACAAAAATATTAGAAAAAGTTGTCAGTTCATTTGGTGGGTGGACTGGTGGCTGGCTTACACCCTGACTGGAATGCTCTTCTTCATTTTATCAAGATTCTTACAAATAGGCACTCTTTTAAGGCTAATTTGAAAAAATACCTCCTTCAGAACTCCTAAGACTTCTAAGTTTGTATAATTTCTTGTATCCTACATGTGTAACCATACCATTCAATGGCTTTGTAAGCTAATGCATTGACCTTTCTCATAATGTATTAGTCTGTGCATACATTATGATGTTAACTTTTTAGCTCTGCTGTCGACTTTGTCGAGCGGAGCTTATCATATGCGTGATTGTCTGTCGTCGTCCGTGTCAATGTTTTACTTTTTCGACTTCTTCTTGAAAACTACAAGCCTGAATGCTTTGATACTTAGTGTATATGTACCTTGGGTAGACCTCTCTCAGATTTGTTCATTTCATGATGATATCTTCAATTCTCTAATTTTGGTGAATATTCAGATGGGACATCCATCCAGGTATTCAGATGGGGCATCATAGTATTCAGGTGGGGAATCTAGACATTCAGATGGGGCATCAAGACATTCAGGTGGGACCTCAAAATATTCAGGTGGGACATCAAAATATTCACGTGGTGCATCCAGGTATTCAGGTGGGGCATCAATATATTCAGGTGGGACATCAAGGTATTCAGGTGGGGCATCAAAATATTCAGTTGGGACATCAAGGTATTCAGGTGGGGCATCAAAATATTCAGGAGGGACATCAAGACATTCAAGTGGGACATCAAAATATTCAGGTGGGACTCCATCCAAGTATTCAGGTGGGACATCCAGGTATTCAGGTGGGGCATCATGGTATTCAGGTGGGGCATCTAGACATTCAGCTGGGACATCTGGGTATTCAGGTAGGGCATAAAAATATTCAGGTGGGGCACCAAAATATTCAGATGGGACATCCATCCAGGTATTCAGATGGGGCATCATAGTATTCAGGTGGGGAATCTAGACATTCAGCTGGGGCATCAAGACATTCAGGTGGGAACTCAAAATATTCACGTGGGGCATCCATGGATTCAGGTGGGGCATCAAGATATTCAGGTGGGGCATCAAGATATTCAGGTGGGGCATTTAGACATTCAGGTGGGACATCTAGACATTCAGGTGGGACATCAAAATATTCAGGTGGGGCATCAAAATATTCAGGTGGGGCATCAAAATATTCAGGTGGGGCATCAAGACATTCAGGTGGGGCATTTAGACATTCAGGTGGGACATCTAGACATTCAGGTGGGACATCAAAATATTCAGGTGGGGCATCAAAATATTCAGGTGGGGCATCAAAATATTCAGGTGGGGCATCAAGACATTCAGGTGGGACATCAATGTATTCAGGTGGGTCATCAAGACATTCAGGTGGGACATCAAGACATTCAGGTGGGACATCAAGACATTCAGGTGGGACTCCATCAAGGTATTCAGGTGGGTCATCAAGACATTCAGGTGGGACATCAAAATATTCAGGTGGGACATCAAGGTATTCAGGTGGGACATCAAAGTATTCAGGTGGGACATCAAGGTATTCAGGTGGGACTCCATCAAAATATTCAGGTGGGGCATCAAGACATTCAGGTGGGACATCAAGACATTCAGGTGGGACATCAAGACATTCAGGTGGGACTCCATCAAGGTATTCAGGTGGGTCATCAAGACATTCAAGTGGGACATCAAAATATTCAGGTGGGACTCCATCCAGGTATTCAGGTGGGACATCCAGGTATTCAGGTGGGGCATCATGGTATTCAGGTGGGGCATCTAGACATTCAGCTGCGACATCTGGGTATTCAGGTAGGGCATAAAAATATTCAGGTGGGGCACCAAAATATTCAGATGGGACATCCATCCAGGTATTCAGATGGGGCATCATAGTATTCAGGTGGGACATCTAGGCATTCAGGTGGGGCATCAAGATA